AATTTTTATCAACTGCAAAATAAATTGTTTAATAAAACATGACTCCGTTGGAATTAAAAAAAAAAAAAAAAAAAAAATTACAATTCAAATTAAAGAAACTGAATAATTTTCCAAAAATCAATTAACTGAAATAACACCAACTCCAATGAATTATAAAACACATTCCAAGCAATTTATACCAGTAGACTTCTCAATTTTCGAATCTTCCAAAACCTTAAAATGAAGAAAATTTCGAAAAGAAACTTGAAGAATTAACAAAATCTTTTTATCAAATAAATTCTAGAAAGTATCATTTATATGCATATTTTATTATTCATTTCCAATTCATAATTAATATAATTGATTTATTCATTTTTTTTTATTTTTTAATTAGGTGACGATGATGATGATGATGGTGATGACGGATACATCTAATTTTATGCATTTTATTTAAATTATCAATAATATATTTTTTATTGAATTTTATGCATAAATTATAAAGCACTAGTTATTAATTTTTTGATATTATAAAATCTTAACACTAATTATAAAGTTTTTAATAATGATTTTTCAAAATATCTATTTTTTATATATTACAAATAAAGAGTTCTAGTCATTAAGGTTTGTAAATTGCGATTTTATAATAAATTCGTTTGTATTTGTTCATAACACTCATGCATGCAATTTTGCTAATAATATAAAAAAAAATGGAAAATTGAGGAGTAATTATTATTTTGATAAAAATATATTTATATTTAATTTGTAAACCTAATAAAAGAATACATCAACAATAATTATCAAATTATCAAAGTTTATGGTTGTCTTCATACTTCATTTAAAAATTTGGTAGATCGAAAAAGATAAAGAAATAAAAAATAATTCTTTTTTATTCGTATGAAAAAGAGTAAAAATAGAGGAGTGATTATTTGTTTTGTTAAAAATATTTATATTTAATCGTAAATGTAAACATAAAAAAAGAATACATATACCAATAATAAAAATAAAAATAGTAAAAAAAATTAATATTTTACTATTTTCTATAAGCGATAGTAAAAAAATATTTTTTTTTACTATTTTTAATAATAAATTTATTAAATAGTTTCGCTTATAAAAAATAGTAAAATAATAATTTTTTTTACTATTTTCTACAAGCGATAGTAAAAAAATAATTATTTTTACTATTTTTAATATTACGATTATCGAAAATGATTTTCGGTAATCACTAAAAATAAATAAAATAATTTTTTTATAAAAATAAATTTATTAAATAGTAAAAAAAAATTATTTTTTTTTACTATTTTTAAAAATTTCAGAAATTATATAAACGCCTGCTATCTTTGGGAGGTTATTCTTCTAAATAGTATCGATATCGAGTGCGAAATCGATTACCATTACCATTACCATTATATAAATTCTTGACCTTTTTTTTCATTTTGGGTCACGAAAATCTTCTCAAAAAAGAGTATTGTTGGCAATTGATTGAACTTGAGAACTTATCAATACTCACCAATTGGATGAAGGTATTTTGTACCGTGACTTCATCGAAAAAGGAATAATAATAGGTAAAAATCTATACTATGATAAAAAAAGGGTAAAAATCTATACTATGATAATAATCACCACCGCATTGCATTGTTCGTTTTCAAATTTAGAAGTACATCTCAAAAAGAAAGTATTAGGCCAATTTTTAAAAAGAAAAAACAAAGAAAATTCGAAAAGAAGTTTCTATTGCCAATACAATATCTAATACAAATTACACAGATCTTAATTTCCGGAGTTCGAGAGAAAAATAATAATAAAAAAAAAACATATTTGAAGACGAATAAACTTTTCCTCATTTTAAAGTTCCACTTTTAATTCAAATAGTAAAGATGAAATCCCAAACAATCTACTCATCATTATTATTGTGCCTTTTAAATTTTACTCATTTTCTGACAATAACAGCTGAAAGATGTGTCGATATTCCAGATCCTTTAAATCCTTCCAAGCAAGTAATTGTAGACTGTCCACCTACCGTGAATAGTGACGCTTATGTTAAGCGTCAGACCACCAATTTCTTTGAAGTAACTCATACTTGTTCTGCTACTGCAGCCTTGTGTAATAATATCAGAGAGGCCTTTAATGACGCTGGAAATGAAATATCAAAAGTATTGAAGTTAAAACAGATAATCAAAGTAAATGCTACTTTTACAGACCTTTCTAATCCACTTTTATTAGGTGAGTTGTTTTGTAAATGTAACTTTCGCTCACTTCCAGATTTATTCACTTTATGATTACATAATAATATTTATAATATTTAAAAAGGTGCTGCCGGTCCTGCACGATATATACCACTGACCTCGGATGATAAGATCATAAGGCGTTATTCTCAACCTCTTGTAAAACAATTTTCCTTAAGTGTACATCCTGAATATGATGATTACGATATTATTGCAAGTTTTAATACAGGTAATAATCAAATAATATTATCAAAAAT